AAATAAATGCTTGCATTAAATTTCATCAAAACTACTTCTTTCATGAATGTACTTCCTTAAATTAAATATCACTTAATGGAAATTTGATAATGCCTTTTCCCCCCTTTTAGTAATATGAGATAGTTTTGGAACCTCATGAAAGATGTTCAAGGTGTTGTGCTCTTCCGCCAGAAAAGCAAACGTTGTTTTTGGAGCTGTTTCTGATGCGTGCATGTGTATCTTTTTTCTTATTAGGGTCAAGTGTAATTTTAACCTTACACAAGTGATCTGCTAATGGGAGAATTTTGACCTAGAACATTTTCAAAGGGGTTAGTTACTGGAAAGACAAGAAAGCCAAGGACAGGGGTAAGGTGGTTGTATTACAGGATTTCCAGAACATTCTTCTCCCTCGGAGCTTTCTGTTTTCAGTTTGATTTCTCCATTTCCTGTGCCCTCTGTCATAGTCAAGGCCTGCCTTTTATCTGGCCTCAGTTGCCCTGGTTGTCTGCTTTGCCAGTGTTCCCAAGGCCCTTTTCCAGCCACCCCATTGAGCTATCTCCCTTTGATCTCTGCTCCCCCAGAAGTAAAGAACTTGCTGTTAGAGGGAGAGGCCGGGCGTTCCACCTTTGGAGGTGCTTTGCTTTCAAAGAGATTCACATTTACCCATCTTCTCATTTTATACCGGTAGCAGACAACTACTGCTGCTTATCTCACACCTTGGTTTCTCACTTTGTTAATAAAGAAATGAGCGCTAATGTCCTTCAGGAAAAACACCTGGTCCATATGGAAGTATCAATCATGAGGTCCAACACCAAGAACAGATAGCAAAGTATCAACCACGAGGTCCAACACCAAGGAACAGATAGCGCTGCATCCCAAGCTGCATACATTGAATTGCGCTTTCTCCTGAACATTCTGAATTATCAGAATTTTTGAATCACAGAGTGATTCAAAATTTGGCAATGGTTACGATGATTGGCAGCCGGATGAGTTTCTAAAACATTAGTAACTAACATTTTCAGGGTCCTTTTTCAAAGAGCCAGAGGTACTCTGTATAGAATTCTACCTTCTAATTCCTCAGAGTGAGGTATTGTTATTTACTTTGTTGTTTTCTAAGTATTTTTTATTCTTTCTCATTTACATGTTACTGGTCATTTTTTTTTTTTTTATCCTGAATTCCAGTGCAAGAGTTAAAGCCATTTCAACCCTGGACTTTCAGATCAGCATCCACAACAATGTCCAATGGAAATGGTCATGTCATCCCGTTATGTTCTAACTCCCAGACCTCCTCACCTCACTATACATTGGCTATTGGTCTTAGATATCTATATTCCTGTTGACAAGTTTTGTAAATATTTTGCTCAGAAATGGACATAATTTAATAAATCTCATTCCCGCCCACTAGGATGAAATATCATTTTGTTAGTTTTATTGGAGTGATGTAGTTGGTGCAATTCACATTCTAAAATATGAGAGCTTTAAAAATATCTGCGTCTTGTAAAAAATAACTTAAAATGGGTAGGACAACGTGTTCTGCATTAGTATCATTTCACATCTACCTTCATATTGAACTTCAGAAAGATGTGGCTGTTACGGTCTGTACATGGTCCCTGGAAATTCCTGTGTTGAAATCCTGAAATTCTAAGCTCAAGCTGATGGTATCCAGGTGGGGAGCTTGAGTGAGTGGTCAGATTGGGAAGGCAGAGACCTTAGGAGATGAGTGCCTTAGGAGACCAGCCTGAGGGTGAAAGTTGGCCCTTTTCACTAAGGAACAAGTCAGAAGACAACACTGTGGTCTCTAAAAGGTGGGTCCTTAGCCCAGAGAGCGGGCCGGTACTTTCATGCTTTACTTTCTATCCTCCTGAGCCATGGGAAATAAGCCTCTGTGGTTGCCAATCCATCAGATACACGGCGTTCTGTCCCAACAACAAACAGAGCTGTGCAGGACACAGGCTGTGGTCTCCTGCAGCCATCATCTAAACCAGTAATGCACAAACCGGCACCATGACTTGGCACTTAATACATGGTTAAAACAGCACCAGAAACAAACGAAAAATGCGTCTCATTTAGGGAAACTGCTAATGGACGTAAAAAAGTAAGATGTAGAATATGCAAAATAAAAATAAAATAGTCCAAATCTGCAAAAAAGGCTTTAACAAAGAAGAGTTACATTGTCTAACTCTACAAATTAGTTCATATAAAAATCTGAACAGATAGACGAATGCTGAATCTGGAAAGATCTGGAATCAACAGGATGAATGTCCACAGCCGTGGGAGTTTCACAGGGAGGATGAGAAAGCTACCAATCTACAGAATTTCTGTTTTTGTTCACACCAACGAAAACCCATAGAAGATAAAAGATCAGACTTTTTTTTTTATAACACTAATACCAAAGCCAAAAGGTAAATGACAATAAAGAGAATGATTTACAAGCCCAGACAGGGTTAGAGCAGATTCCTTGAACAGCTCCCACTGACCAGTAACTAAAAGATAAAAGAACAGCAAATAAACGCACTAACCAAACCAATTCACAGAAACCAACACACAAACAGCTAGGCCGATTATTCTTGCTTTAAATTGACTGCAGTAATCTGCAAATGGACCTCTCCCATGCTGCCTAGTAATTATAGTGTTTTCTTAATTCCATCACTGCACTATACTTCTCCCGAGGAGTAATTCATACCTTTCTTTCTAGAACCAAACCTTCATCTCTCTCAAACTTATCTCCCACTACTGTTACTCAAGCCCAAGGAACCTTGTATCACAGGGTTATTTGAATATCCTCTTAGCCAGTACCTGCAGCTATTCCACTGTGTGAGTCATTGATTAACTGGATAGCACACACATCACATTATACATCATATTTATATAAGTCACATCATATATATATATACACACAGCTACCCAAATTTTTAATCAAACATTTGTTCAAAAAGCAAATATTTAATGAGTGTCTACTGTTGTAAAGCCCTGTTCAGTCTTGGAATAAGGAGGTAGGCATTTAGTATAGTGCTTAAGATGTTACTTCGGGAAAACTCGATTGGGTTTCCAGTTCTTAGCAAGCCTCAGCTATTTGAGGGCAGTTGGGAAGTCACCCAGTCGATGGCAAATAAATAGACTTGGGCTGGCATTGTGGTACAACAAGTTCAGCCATTGCCTGAAGCACAAGCATCCCATATCGACGCCAATTAGAGTTCTGGGTCCAGTTAGAGCCCCAGCTGTTCCAATTACAATGCGGTTCCCTGCTAGTGTGCCTGGGAAGTAGCAGAACCTGAGCCAGGGTCTTGGGCTCCGGGCTCCAGGCTCCGGGCTTCAGCCTGGCCCAGCCCTGGCAGCTGTGGCCATTTGGGAACTGAACCAGCAGATGGAAGATCTCTATCTCTGCAACTCTGCCTTTCAAATGAATACGTAAAGCAAATTTAAAAAAGTAAAATACAAATGTGTTTTGGCAACGAAGAAGGAAACAAGATGCTTCTTTGCACAAAGCTAGGCTTCAGCAGGGTAGTGGTGACTAGACTTCTCAGTGTCACGTGATGTGTATCGCTGAAGAAAAGTAGAGAGAGGGGGGCAAGAAGGGAGAGAAATCACTTGCTGACATCTGAGCAAATCCTTGCAAAAGTGAGGAACGTGGTTTTACAGGTGGGGAACAGAAATTCCCAAGCTCAAGGAGGTAAATTCTAGGTATGTTAATAACGCATTTACAGTGCTTAATAAGATCTGGCTATTGCTCCTTTACCTCAGTGAGGCCCATAAGAAATTCACAATTCACACCTATTTCATATTTGAATGAAATTGGTGATTGGTGGTATGTGTGAAAATCCTGAACTTTCTGTGATAGAGAGCTAAGTTAGCCATTGAGTATTCATAACATGTTTGGTTTAAAAATAAACACAAATAACCCTCTTCCCTTCATTGACCCCCTAAATTTTGGCTCTCTTTACTGAAAAACATCCTTTTAATTTTTATCCGGAAAACAACATAGAGAATAAGTTTCTTTCAAAACAAGTTTTCCCTTGAAGAGAAACACATGTTCAAAGTACAAACAACATTCCTGTACCCGATTTAAGCTGCTTAATTTCTGCAGGATGATATCATCCTGAGGCTTATGAATATGTCCCTTACATAGTATTTTCTGTATAATTCCTTAATTTGGGCTCATTTACAGAAGCAGACCCATAATTTTATGTAACTAATTATGAACCAAAAATATGTTGAAATCCAAATACCTCCCAGAAACAGGTAATCCCTATTAGCAATAAAAAACAGTAAATATTCCAACATGATTTTATAAAATTAAATTTGACAGCTGATTTAAAAATTAGTTTGCAAAAACAATTGGATAAAGATAACATCAAGGGTACATCAACCTGAGGTTTTCAAATTAAAATAGAAACAAAAAAAGTATATAATGTAATTTTATGTCAGATAAACAGAAAGTCTATGAATAGTCCTCTAACTGTTTGGTGACATACATATATTTCATTTTAGGATTATTAGTTGAAAAGCAGAGTGGCAGTGGGGGAAGGGAGCCACAGAGAGATAGAAAAATGTCCCATCCATTGCTTTGTTCCCCAAATGGCTGCAACAGTTGGGGCTGCTCCAGGCTGAAGCCAGAAGCTCCATCCAGGTCTCCTGCACAGGTAGCAGGGACCCAAACACTTGGGTCATCTTCTGCTGCCTTCCCAGGCATTCATTATCTGACATGGAAGCACAGGGTCCCAGACTCAAACAAGCATTCACGCTGACATTGGAAACGGCAGTGCACCCTTCTGGGCCACAGTACTGGCCCTTGGAGGTCAACATTTCAATGAATCAACAAAGAATGACCCATGTACTCAAAAGCAGCATTACAACAATGTTCATTTTTAAAAAAAGAATAATTAGGTCTCAACCATGTATCAGAAAGGTATTAGAATAGGACTCAGGCGGGTTAGCTATTACTTTACTTTGTTTTTTTTTGTTTTTTTTTTTTTTTTAATAGCTAAACCCTCTGAGTCCCAGTGGTTTAACCAAATACTCACTAGTTCTTGTCTGTGTGAGCTGCAACAGGTGACCGGATGGTTGGGCAAGGATCAGCTCCACGTTATTCTTCAGAATCAGGCAAGCAGAAACTTCACCATCTTCAAATTCTGTCTTGAAGCTTGCCCAGGAAGTTAACCTCTAGCTGGGAAACAATGGAAGAAATGTTGATGCTGGAACGCTTTGTGGGGCAGGTGAAAATCATGTCATCATTTGTATCCCTACTCAGCTGGAGAGCATTTCCCAAAGAAGCTGGGGAAGTTAACTTAGCCAGGTGCCCAGGGAAACAGACACAGTGAACACTTCGCCAGTTTCTAACACAGAAGATGCTTTCTGTTACCAAATATTCTACCAACCGTTAAGAGTATCTTACTGATTCTGCAAGTGAGACAGACAATCGGAAGCTTTACCCAGTTACTGCAACCAGCTCAGAGTCCAAAACCTCTGAAGAAAGCAAGGTTGTTCCCTCAGAGGTGAGTATGTCTTTTTCAAGTCCTACAGCCCCTGTGGAAATCTCTCCACTGCCACCATACACACAGGCAGGCATCCAAGATGAGTGAGAACAGGAGACTGTGATGTGTACTGGCACCTTGGTGACAAGACAAAGGTGTGGGCTCGTTACCTATACCCACCTGGCACGCTTTCCAAGTCCTCTAGCTTGGAATGAAAGGCATTTCCTTGATTTACAGTTTGCTATCTGGAAGGAACTCCTTGCTCTCCTTGCTAGCTCTTTCCTCATGGAGGTTCTCTTTCCCACAAGCAGTCTTTGAAATAAATAGTGCAGAGGGCACCTGCTTTTGACAGCTTTTGCAACCCACCTCTTCTTTAAGCAGTCTAGGAGTCCTCAAAATCTTAATGATAGGAAGTTCAAAGGTTGCTCAGGTCAAATCTTGATTTCTTGGGCACTGCAAGTTTTGAAAAGTTTTGCTTTTGAGAAATCAGTTCAGTCACATATACTACTAACATTTCCCACAATTCTGCCACAAATGTGCCTGCATTGCTTGTTCTCTCATTTGCTTTCATGCCTTTAATCCACAGCGGATACGATGCAGCTCCTTGCTCTCATCGAGTCTATGTTGGTGTCACGCACCTTACCGGACCTTCGTGCACATCCGTTTATCATTTCTGATCAGAAGCAAGGAATTTTCCACTCAGTTTTTTTTCTTTGCTTGCAACTTGGCAAATGTTTGCCACCAGCTATCTATGCCTTTTGTATTTCTATCACTGTGATGATCGCAGAGAAAGTGAGAGCCAGACACACAGAGAATCAACAGTTTCACTTTTGGAATTTCCTCTAGACCTGCAGGTGCAGTAGGTTTTGCCACCGTGTGTTTTCCAGCCCTGGACCGTGACTCTCGCTCATCCTCTTCTAGACCATGTATTTGGCATTCTTTTTCCTTCTTCACTCGTCTCGCATCCCCCTCCATCTCCCTTTTTTCTTCCTTTTCCTCTGTCCTCGCCTCCTCTTCCTTCCTTCCTCGTAGTAGTATTTCTCTTCCAGCACCGTTTTTTCCCTTTAAAATGTTGCCACATGCACACCATTTTACAACAGCATTCCAAATTCTCATCGGTTAAATACAACTCATGCATGTTTGATCCTGAAATTACATAGCTTAAGTGGATTATACCTCCTCACATTCATTTAGGCCAATAACTTTTCTTTGTGCTAAAAAGAGGAGTATCTAATGTTTCCCAAGGTGTTGGCAAGAATGGAAGCTATGAAATGTTTCAGAGCAGATCTACACTTGTCTCACATGGTTTTCACCCATAATCCAAAAGTAACTCTTGGGTTATATGGCTTAAACCTAACTTTCACGGGTTGGGAAATGCTGATTAGTGGTGTACTGATTTGGTTAAATAACTTGCAAATATCAAAATGCACATGGGTAAGTTCTAGATCAAGAACTAAGTGTAAATATAAACCAATAAACACACAAAAATACAGAATTGTGTGGAATGCCAGAGGATTCACCCTACTTGAAGCAAGTAAACAAGCCTGCCAGTTTCATGGATGCTGACGGGAGAATGAGATCCTGAATCAGACATAAAGAATTGTATTACTCATGGTCAAAGCCACAGAGCATGACCATGTGCTTGTGGGGGTCCCTGGGACCATGTTGATGATTCACTGGCATGATTCACAGGGCCTGGAACAGGCTGCAGTGTTTACAGAATGGTTTATCGCAGTCAAAGGATGCAGATCATATCAGAGAATAGCCACCCTGTGTAAAATATTAGGAGGAAGGAGCAAACTCTAAGATGTCCTTGTCGCCCACCTGAGCTTGAGTACCTGGGCTCCGAAAGGGGGGTGTCGCACAGGCACCGATGACCTGGTGCTCAGACTCGAGCTGTCCAGAGCACAGACACTCGGCATCAACTGTCCACTATTAATCCCTCTGTTCAATAAACTCTGGTTAGACCGAAGCAGATGGCTGAAGGCCTCACACATGCAGAAGCATTCTTATCAGAACTGCTGGTTCGGAACTTGTCCCGCAGGACAATCTTGGGAAGCATGAGGGACACAGGCCTGCAGAGTTACTCTCCCCATGCCTAAAGGACCCTTGTTAAATACTGCACTGTAAGCAACACTGAGCTGATTCTCATTCAACACTGGGATTGCTATTGCTGGGTTTTGCTGTTGACTTCCAAGTTACTCTGGTGAAGTCTGTATTCTTTGTAATGGACAGACACCGATGTCAGAGTCATTTAGCTGAGTGGTAAGCTAATATTTGGAAAGAAATTTCCTTAAATTTCTAGAATCAATACTGTTTAGTTGAGGGGCTCTCTCTCCGTGATAGGATACACCTTGACCACTTTGCCAGAAGTTGAGGATTCCTTTAAGCTTCACTTGTCTTAGCATCCCACCATCAGCCAGTCTAGGGAAATCCTGGTAACTCCCCAAGTATTCACGGAGTTAGTGACTGTGCCATCTTCCTGATTTCAAGAAACATTTCTGAACTTATCACAGTCCCTATGCAGACCGGATTCTCCAGCTTCCTCCTATGCTTTCTCATTAACTTACACCAGCTGCTACTCTCTGCCTGAGGCAGTTTTGATGTTAAATTAATTATTTTTGAAAAGATATCTCAGGCGAAACCTTACTGCACTGACCAAGCCTGGCTCGGATTCTCTGAAGACAGTCTTGCAAGGGGGTCTTCCAGTAAATGACTAGACAGGTCAAATGACAACAAAATATGTCTTTGAAGAAGTTCCAATGCTTTTAGCCTCCCTCCAGTGATGCCAGCCTGGTGGTTTTCCACTGTGGTTTCAGGCTAACATGCATCTGGGGACTAGAAAATGGAAACAGAGCAAGTGGAGATGTCACAACCATCAAGATTCAGATGTTTTTCTTGAAAAAAAAAATCCTCCTTGGCTTGCCACAAAGCCTTTAAACGCAGAGTTCTGGAAGAGTTTATTCTGACAGTTCGGGTAGTTTGCTTAAGCTTTTATAGACAATAATCTCCTGGTGTCTATACTCCATCATGTTTTTTTTTTTTTTTTGATGGGTATGCTTCAAACAATTCTGAGATTAACTAGTTAGTTGGTCTGTACTATACAAGCATCACTTTACAGTTCTAAAACTATTTTCTATGAACCAACTTTCTCAGAGGTAAAGAAATAACTTATAAAATTAAGCACAATGGGCCTGGTGTGATAGCCTAGTGGCTTAATCCTTGCCTTGCATTCACTGGGATACCACATGAGCACTGGTTCTAATCCCGGCTGCTCCACTTCCCATCTGGCTCTCTGCTTGTAGCCTGGGAAAGCAGTAGAGGATGGCCGAAGCTTGGAACTCTGCACCTGCATGGGAGACCCAAAGAAGCTCCTGGGGAGTGAATCAACAGACAGAGATCTTTCCGTCTCTCCTCTCTGTAAATGTGACTTTTCAATTAAAACAAAATAGACCTTCAAAAAAACAATGAAGCACAATTTGAACTTCGAAATAAATACTGAAGGACTCATATTTATGACCCTAGTGGAATCACAGTGGCTGTGGAGTTGTCCCTTTAAACAACTACTAAAAGTGAGCAAAGCATAAAACGATGGTGTTGACAACTGGCAGCAGCCAGGGCCCAGAGCAGAGTGCTGTACAAGCAGTGTGTTAGCTCAGTGCCTGAAGACTTCACAGCACGGTGAGAGCAGGGCCATGCAGCCTTATGGGGCGGGAGAGTCAGGAGCTGAGAGTTTGGGCAGATCAATGTGACTGCAAGTTGTGAGGCAGTACATGGAGAATACAGACACACAGAATGAACGTGCTCTGGAGACGTGTAAAAGGGTGCCCGAGGCTCTGGTTGAGGACTGTCTGTGACCTCAGAAAACTGTAGCAGACAGACTATCAGGTGGAGCTGTTACAGTGGCAATGCCTCAGGAATAGGACCAACTGAGCCCTAGATGAAGGTCTTTCAACCTTTCTACTGTTAATTTAGGCTGGAAAGTATGGTGGCATGCATGGTAAGTACTGTACGTAGCACCCTCTTTTCCCTAGCGATGACAGAAAATATCTCTGGATGTTGCCCACCACTGTGCACGAGGGCGGAATGAGGGCGCTGCCAAGCCGAGTCACTGTCATAGACTAAGGGCTATTTTGGACTCCTGTTTACAGGGCAGAGTGTGGTAAAAGAGCTCTGCTTCAGTAATTGCACTGTATCCCAGAACCAAGTTCAACAGGTCTTTGCAGCTAACAAAACCTAGCAACCAAGAAACGTGAACCTTTTCCGTCTTCTGACTGGAGTAAGATTTGGGGAGACCTGGCCATGAGGGCACCATCCTCGGTCAGTCTAGAACATTCTCTGATGAAGCACAGATGCATTTCCTTTCATCCTGTCAATCTGAAATTAGATCAAAATAAAAAAGTACAGAGCACATTTTCAACACAAAAAATTAATTTTCTTACTACATACGCTGAATTCCATTATTCTAATTATCTCAATTCTTAACTCTTAATCTAGACAGTAATTACTAGAGAGCTTGTTAAGTCTAGTCATCTGATGACCTTCTGTGCTAATAACTTGCAGGATATATGATCTTTATTTTGCAATTTAAAACTTTTTAATTATATTATTTAATTGAAAGGTAGCAGCACAAAGAGTAAGACATCTTGTCTACTGGTTCACTGCCCAAATGTCCACAATGGCTGATGCTGGGCTAAGCCTGGGAGCCCAGATCCCCATCTGGATTCCCACATTGGTGGCAGGGTCCCCAGGGCGTGACCTCTCGCCTCCCAGTGTGCGTACCAGTAGGAAGCTGGAATGGGAAGCAGGGCCGAGATGTGCACTCAGGCTTTCTGACATGGAATTCAGGCATTCTTAGGGACTCCACACCTGCCTGAAAACATGCAATTTAGTTAGCATCATCTAGTTAGCCAAGAACCTTTAAATTTCTCCTAGAGCAGAAAACCAAAACAAAACCAAGGAAAACTGGGGTGGCTTTTTCGGACCCTGCATTCCTTAGAGGAAACAGCAATGCTGTGTGGATGGGAGCAGTCCCCCTCAGGAGGGTCCCCTCAGCCTCTTGGCAGAGCCCCCACAGGGAAGGCTCCTCCAGTCCTACTCATGTCTGGAGTTGTGCTCAGAAAGTGCAAGTCACAATTTCTCAAAAGCTGTTCTGAGTGCAAATGGTCAAATGGATAAATGTTACACATTTTTTATTTCCAGAAAAACTCCTAAGCAATGAAACGTAGGAGTAAAACTAAGTTCTGGTTGTGTGTGATGTTCAAAAACTTCCCTAGGTAATGGAAATAGAAAATAATGGATCCCAAGTACATAGTAACAGTAATCAAAACAATAATTGTTATTTGTACATCCATATTTTACTTTTGCTAACAAAAATAACTTTCAACAGAGGCGATCTATTTTAACGTATCCTAACAGTTACTTTAAGCCACAAAACAGAACTGAACTAGTGACATACACTTCTTAGAAGCACAAATGGCAAAACCTGTGACCCCCATATTCCCCAAGTTCTTTTATGGGGGAAACAACCTGGTGTATATTATTATGTTAGTAAGTATACAGGTTGACTTATGAAAAATAATTTGGATGCAAGAAGGAAAAAGACAAACACATTCTACCTTTCTTCAAGGAGGTATTAAATATTCATTTAAATAGGCGAGTTAAAGAAAAAATTTTAATTTACAAAAAAGGTACCACTAATCAATCATCAAAAGTGATTTTTTTCCCCTGAAACACAGCAATTTTCGACTGCTGCTCCTTCCGCTTCCTGCTCGCTTCCCAGGAAGGATGCAGGGGCAGCTGCGACGGCGGTTTCGTGTTTTGTGGCCCTTTCTGTGTGTTCTTCCGGAACTGACTCTTGATCTGAGGTTTGTCTTGTGTGAAATCTACAAAGGAAAAGGAAAATCAATTTTTAAAAGTTAGCTGCCTACACCTAATAATATTCAAGAGCGTTTCATATTTTTCAAATCACTAATGCAGGAAGAAATCTGTTTTTTTGTTTTTTTAATGGCACACGTCAACAATTTAAAACTGAAATTCAACAGAGAACAGCATGACCCCGACAGCTGATATATTGGAAATTAATTTTGGGATATAGAGGGTGAAGTTGTGGCAAACATTTATTACAAAAACACTGCATTCATTACAAACTTTTGTGCCATATATGCCTTAATTCCATTTCCCACAAACTTTCTGAGATCCATCTGTACTCCCTACTACTTGTTAGATACTGAGTGTTGTAATGGTCATTATGCTGTGTGATAACATACACAAAGCATAAACTAAAAAAACCGAGTTCATTTTCCCATGTTTTCAAAGGAATGTCACCAGCTTATAATAACTAAGTAAGGACCACTTGCAGCCAGAAAATTCAGGTCCTAGCACTGTGGCCTTGGGTCTCCGGTGGGATGGCTCAGTAACTAAATCCTTATTTTCCTATAGTCAGGATCCCACAAGGGTACCGGTTCATGTTCCAGCTGCTCCACTTCCATTCTAGCTTCTTACTGATGGCCTGGGAAAGCAATAGAGGATGGCCTAAAGCCTTGGAACCTTGTACCCGCTTGGGAGACCAGCAAGAGGCTCCTGGCTCCTGGCTTCCGATTGGCTTAGCTCTGGCCATTGTGACTACTTGGGGAGTGAATCACTGGATCGAGGATCTTTCTCTCTGTCTCTCCTTCTCTCTGTAAGTCTACCTTTCCAATAATAAATCTTAAAGAATAAACACAAGCAGAAGGTTTAAAAGACAATTCCCAAAAGAAGGAATATAAATGGTCAACAAAATAATTAGAAAAAAAAGATTAAAGATTGTTTCATTAGCTATCAGAGAAAGGAAAATCAAACAGAATCACAATGAGGTCATCTCACCTTGTTACACACACTGGTTCCCAAATCAGACTTAACTAGAAGGAGTAAGTTCCTACTATTTTTTACTTTTTAAAAAAAGATTCATATATGTATATTTATTGGAACGTCAGCTAGATAGAGTACAGGAGAGACAGAGAGGAAGCTCTTCTGTCTGCTGATTCACTGCACACATGGCCGCAACAGTCAGAGCTGAACCAATCCGATGCCAGGAGCCAGGAGCCAGGAGCCTCTTCCAGGTCTCCCATGTGGGCATAGGGTCCCAAGGATTTGGGCCGTCCTTGACTGTTTTCCCATGCCACAAGCAGGGAGCTGGATGGGAAGTGGGGCTGCTGGGATTAGAACTGGCGCCCATATGGGATCCCTGCATTGCAAGGTGAGGACTTTAGCCATCAGACTATCACACCCAAGTTCCTACTGTTGAACAGTGCAGCAGAGCGCCTATAGAGTCAGCTATAGAGCAAACAGAACACAGGAACACAACTTTTCTGATCATGAAAGTAATGACAATGAAAGATTCGAATGTTAATTATCCTTATTTTGATCACATATGAAATATCACAATGTATCCCATAAATATGTATAATTATTACTTCTAATTTTTTTTTTAATGTAAAAAACAAAGATTGGTCTACTGTTGGCTGTTTTGATGGTGTAGAGGAAGAAAGAGAAGTGTTCAGGAGAGAACTGGCCATCCCTGGGAACTCAGGGCTTGGAAAAGCCTTTGCTCCCCCAACAGTGTAAGACGCAGATCCAACACCACACAGACCTAGGAAGTTGCTGCTCTGGGGCACAGACCAGAGCAAAGGCAGCACTTGGGCATGCAGACCCAAGTTGCAACACAGCAGATGCTGAATGACTGGCGGAAGGAAAAAATACCACCCAACCCTGAGGTGAGAGAACAGAGGACAGAAATCAATTATGTTTTTCAGGAAGTGTCAAGTGCAAGAAATCATAGGCTGGGGTGGAAAATTTTCTCTGACAGAACAATCTCTCAAGGCTGTAAGTGACGCGTATTTGCAGCAGTAATCTGGCACGAGTCTCCAGGACCATCCCGCACACACAGCCATGTAGCCATGGGACAAAGATCTCCCCAGGAAGACAGTCTGGGACCGGAGGAAACAACGCAGAGAAGCTCCTTCCAGAGGCCCCAGGAGCTGTCAGCAGCGCTTTAGGCAGCAATGTGCTGTGGGGCTTACTTTCTCCTTTACTCTAGCTCCCACCTGTGTACCTGGCAGCTTCCCTCTGATATAAGGTCAGGAAGCTAAGGGGAGTCAGTCGCTCGAACAGCAGGCACCCATTCACCCTCCCCCTGGACTCGGAGCTGTGCCCAGCGGTGTGAATTCAGTTAGTTGGCTGGCTGAGTGGGAGGAAAGGAGACACGAGCACGTGGTGACAGAAAGCTTCCCCTTCCTTTCTTCTAGACACATGCACAGATGACATTTCTTATCTTCTTTGTGATTTGATAGTCACGTGTTAGAATGCTGGGCAATGAAATGTGAGTAGACTGTTTTTTGGCATGCTCAAGCCTGACTCATGAAATCCTACTGCAGAAGTCTTCATGCATTTTGCTCCCTTCTACCTGGGACCTGGAGGCGGGAAGAAGCACAAGATAGGAAGGGACCAGATGCCTGGAGGCCTGTGGGCAACAGAGCTGCTCTTCACAGCGTCTGTGATGCTGGGAGAATGGAATATTCACACTTACCCAGGGTTCTGCTCTTTGGGGCCTGTTCTCTGATACTGCTAAAAGAAGAAAAATATCATTATGACTTCCATGCTTTTAAGAAGATAAAATAATAAAGTTCATGATAGAACTGATTCAGAGGACTGTACCATCCACTCTCCCCAGACAATCAGTGAAATGCAGACAGTGAGGCTGGCATGGGCACATCACGCGAGGAGCTCTTCCTCCCATACTTGGGAACACCTGCTCAGAACTGATGATGTTCTATGTGCCCACCTTGTCTTTGCTCCTGGGGTCTAACCAGACAAAGAATTCATAAAGTCTATTGCAGGGAGAATGAGTCACACAAAAACAATTAAGACCAATGCTTCATGGGGAAGAAAAGAAATGGTGGAAAGTTACTCTCAAATAAGAAAAGTAACTCTTTGAAGCAGATTTCCGAAATGAAATTAAGTATTTTGATTATATATCTTTTCTTACCCTTTTTGTTTTTTTAGAAAATTTCTTTCTAACTCACGTTATTCTAAACCACACAAGACTAACCCTTACAGAGAAAAAGTTTACTGACTTGAGTAGCTGTTACGAAACTAGCTAACCTTGATCTTTACTCTAAAATGGGAAGAAATTCATCAGATTAGAACTGTAAACGAGCTGTGACTGTGAGTGCGCACGCAGGGATGCAGGCAGCAACATCATCCAGCACGAGTGAGCGTGGCGAAGCTCAGCTTCGAGCCAGCAGCCTACGCTCTGCACAGGACTTCACAGGCAACGACTGCTGCCTGCAATACTCCCAATCAAAGAAAAACACCATGGCTGCTTTTTCTGCACAAAGTTCAGTCAAAACATTTTCCAAAGTTTTTCACCAAAAATCAATCTGAAGCTTTTTGATAACCAAATAAATAAAACATTAATTGGCTAAGCTTATCATGTGGCTACCACGTCTCATCCTTGGAGCGTCTGCATGCAAGTGCTACGCTAAATATACGTGGATTGTTACATGACTGTCACGTGGAGGGCAGGTATAAATCTAAAAACAGGAACAGTTGTACAAATTTGAGCTCTGAGAGAGAGTTTCTTTTCTCAGTACTAGGATAATGTAGCTAATTTGTATATTCCAAAAAAGCAAACACTAACAATTTCAGATTAGAAAAACATCTTTACCTTTTAGAGCTTTTGGCTCCAGATAAGGAGTGGAAAAACACAGATTCGAATTTCCTGGCTTCCATACTTGACTTGCTCTCGTCATTTCCATGATCCCGATGTGCTTCCTGCGCATGCTGCTTGGGTAACACCTTCTGGGGAGGTCTGTGTTCCTCAACGGAACCATGGCAACCACGGTCCTTCTTCCGAGTGCGTTTCACTTTTCCAATGAAGAAGTCATCTCCGCTGTCACTCTCCTCCTCAGACATGGAGGACTGCCTGTAAAACCGCTCCTCTGTGCTGTCGTCAAAATACTCCTCCTGCCGCACCCCTGCCTCGTCGTCACTGCTATCGCCCCGGGAGCTTTCAGACGCTTCCCTGGTCGAGGTCTGACTTAGCGTTCTCACCTCTGGCTCAGCAGGTGTCTTCTGGGATTTGAGGGCAACTGCAGAACCCCTCCCTGAAGCCTTGGATGGAGAAGGCGCAGCGGTCTTCCCTGCTCTTGGTCCATCTTTCTTCTTGGTCACTTTTTCTGTTGAATTACTAATTTGTTTCTTACCCAGTACTTTGGTTTCTTGCATTTTCTGTTCACTGCTAATGACCCCTTCTTGTGACTTGCTCCCATCGTCTTTTGAACACAAACCATCCTTGGAAGGATTCTCTTGTGAAGTGCTCTCTGATGATCCAACTTCAGCAACATTCTGTCTTGCATCTTTAAAGGCCTGCACAGCAGCTGCAATAAGAGTGCAGGAGTGGTTTTAAAATAAAATATATAGAGCATCACTTAGTCAATACAGCCCTTGAAATAAAATAAAACGACAACTTGAATTTTTTAAACAATTATGTATCAAATACTGTAAGCTGTGGTTTTAGACAAAAACAAAATAACCTGGGACAAAAGTAAAAATATTCTAAAGATGTAATTTGAAATATTTACACATTAATAAAAATTAAGTGATAGAGTGGTACAATCAAAAGGAGCGAGATATTCAGAAAAATCAAATGCATTCGCATTTTATCATATATGTTATACATAAGATATATATTTACACATTATGCTATGTGTGGTAACAGGGTTCAGGCAGGAAAAAAAAACAGACCTAGTTTTTTCTCAGACATCAGACATATTTTTAGACACATTTCCACATTGCCACCTATTTGAAACACTAATTTTAAAGGGAATCATAACAGAATAACTATGTAAATATTTAAGGTGAGCCAACAATTTTTTGAATCCCAAATCACACACACAAATGCTCTTCAACTCTCCACTTCGAAGCCCCTGGCTTCTTACCTTTCAGCCCGTCGACCTTCTTCTTGAGGAGGGGGTGAGCCGCCAGCCTGGCAACCGCTCTCTCTGCTGCAGTGGAATCGGGCTGCACATTGAAAACATGCAAACGAAAGAACTCAGTACTACTGGAGGGGAGGAGATCTACCACAGTCTAATACTCTCGTGAAGTAAGTTTACTACACACAAGGATCAGGCTGAAAAAACACTACAGCTTCAGAGCAATTAAAAATGACTAGATAATCAATTAATAACGATATTCCTTAGGAACCTAAGAAATTTCCAGGACTGTGCTAAGTAAAATATGTGCCTATATATTTAAGTCAGTCCTTTCAAAGCACCTAAGAGACTGAGCTCTGAAGACTAAGTTACTCATATCACTCTTCTTTGCACTGCGTTCTTTGTCAATTTTTCATACAGTAGTCATAAAAGTGTTTTAAAATGTACTTAGATTGGGCCCAGCATGATAGCCTAGTAGCTAAAGTCCTCACCTTGCATGAGCCAGGATCCCATATGGGCACTGGCTCATGTCCTGGCGGCCCTGTTTTCTATCCAGCTCCCTGCTTGTGGCCTGGGAAAGCAGTCAAGGACGGCCCAAAGCCCTGAGACCCTGCACCCGTGTGGGAGAACTGGAGGAAGCTCCTGGCTCCTGATTAACTCAGCTCTGGCCGCTGTGGCCACCTGGGAAGTGAATCAGTGGATGGAAGATCTTCCTTTCTGTCTCTCCTCTTCTCTATATTTCACTTTCCAACTAAAAAAAATATTTTTTTAAAGATTTATTTTTATTGCAAAAAACTCTGAGTTGATTGTAGCTATGACTGAGAAAAATGTATTGTACTGGGTGGTAAAATATACAAACGGGAAAACTGGTATTAACATACACAGTATTAATTTTTTGACATTCGCTGACCACCAGGGAATGAATGTATCAGCTGAATATAGACCAAGAATTAGATGGTTTTTACCCCAGGGAACCTGCGCTCCCGGAGCTTACTCCCCTGCAGCGGAAAGGCAGTTGTGGAATAGGGAGTTGCAAAGTGAAGAGCCGCGCAGAGGGGTTTTAAACTCCCCTCAACACGCAAGCTGGACCGGGGGTCGCTGCGGCCCCTCACTGGTGCAGTGGTGACCTCACTGGCTGAGGGGGCTGCCAGAATTTCGCCATCTGCTCTGCATTGTAGCCTGGGATCAGGCTTGAAGCAAGTTCCGGCCTCAGGTTACTGGGGCAACCATCAAATATGCTACATAAGCCCAAAGGATTTAATGTTCCAGCCTTAAAATACTAATAAAGAAGAAAGTCTTCAGTTAGAAATGTCAATTTTGGGGTCCCCACTGTCATCTAGCATGTTGAGCCACTGCTTGCAATGCTAGTGTCCTATTTAGGCACTTGTTCTGGTCCCAGCTGCTCCATTTCCAGTCTAGTTCTGTGCCTGTGTCTGGGAAGGAGGCTGGAGATGGCTGACGTGCTGGGCCCTGCCACCTTGCAGGAGCCCCTCAGGAGTCTCAGGCTCCGGGCTTTGGTCTGGCCCGGTCTCAGTGACCATGTGGGGAATAAACGAGTGGATGGAAGCCCTCTTTCTCTGTGTCTGTGTCTCCCTCTCTTTTATTCTGTAGCCAATCTAAGAAAAAAAACGCCACTTTAAAAATTACACTTTTAAATTCTTTCCTTGTAAAACAATCTAACATTTAAAAAAATTTAATTTTATTCTTTTTTTGTTCAATCAGAATTTAATTTTATTCTTAAGGCAATTATCATATTAAAAAATTTAAATTCTTTAATTTTATTAAGAATCTTATTCTTAGAAAATCATTCTTTTAACTTCTTTAAATTGAAATTTCAAAAAGAGCTAGAGGGTATACAAATGAAAATTTTTATCTATCAGTTAATCCAATAGTGTAAAGTTGACTTTAAACCACTATTCTGAACAACTTCTCTTCCCAATGATTACATATCACTTCACCTCACTTTTGTGATCCATTCAGATATTTCTACAGTGTAAGTTGTGCGTGTTTGTAAAAGAAGTCGAAGAGGGTCTGGTGGCACAGCGGCTCAGGTCCAGCCCTTGGCAGGGTCCACGGCCCTGTAGCACATGGGTCAGCCATGGGCTTCAGACCGGGCCAAGCATCGGAACTCCCAGGAGAGACTTCAGTTCCTCTCCCACCTTCCTTCTTCAGGCTTCTTCTTGCCACCCACTCCGTATTTTCGGAGCCCTAATGATGGGAAGATGCCAACTTCCACATGTGAACACACAGACCACCTTGGAGGCTCCTGGGAGCCTTCTGATTTAAAGGCTAAGACAAAGGCACAGCGGCTGATCCACGGAAGAACGCGGTAATCTCAAGAAGAGGCACACTAAATGTTACGGAGATAGCCAAAAGGAATAAAAATGTAGTGACACATCTTAAATTTAAGTAAATATAGTCTGAAACCTTTGAAAAAGTCTACCAATAAGTCTCTGCAAACCAACAGCATTTACACCTGCATGAAAAATTCTTCACAGCACTGAGAGGTATGAAGGAAACCACAACTTTCCCTATTTAAAGCGGGTACAATGTTTGCCATGGAAGACTGTCAGGAAACTGTGGCTTTCACACACCTCTGGTTTCTTCCATTTCAAATAAATTAAACAAAAAAGTGAAAACACCTCATCTTTTAATGGGAAATTTTTATTTTGGCTGATGGGTATTTACTGTGAGAACAAAAGCCTTTGCTGTTCAATTTTGAAAATAATTTTGAGGATACACTTCTAAATGTTGAAGACTAGGCTAAAAATAACAAGCATCTCTTACACACGATGTAAATTCTTTGAAATCTTGTCTAAAAATAATGCTAAATGAACACTTGCAGCAAAATTGGAAAAATCAATTTGGTTTAATTATTAAAAACATTTAGCAAGACAATAGCAAACAGTCCATTGGGGTGGACCAGCAGGTCAGGGCTAAGCAAGCCTGGATCCTCTGGAGGCCACACAATGTTTTCATGTCTTAATTACATAGGATACAAGCTAAGGCTGTTAATTAAGCCTAAAATAGATAAGTGATGGCTTTTATACAGGAAGAAAATAAAAGAGCTGTACTTTCTTATATTTAGCCCAATGACTGTTTCTATGCCAGATAAAAATATTACAAAAATAATGGAAAAAAAAAAAGCATATACAGATGCAAGCTCACACGAAAACTAAGCAGATTTTGGTAAATTATGTTGGTAAACGAGCATTCTAGAAAAAGTCATTTATATGCTAACAAATTTTATATCATTTAACCTCAACGTTTTTTATTTCAAGAAAGTAATAGCTTTGCGGCATGGGTATCTTCAGATATTAATGTTAATTCTTTTACCCTGCCTTTTTAGAGAAACAATCCAGTCCAACTGATCTTCTACTTCTTCTGACCATTAGATCAGCTTAGTGAAATGCTGCTGTCTATCTTTAGTCAAAACTTAAATATTAACTTCCAGACATTAATTTTACCTTCTAGGAGCAGCTCACTCTAAATTCACTGATCCTGGGGCTGGTGCCGTGACTCAACAGGCCAATCCTCTGTCCTGTGGTGCTGACATCCCATAAGGGCTCCAGTTCGTGTGTTGGCTATTCAATTTCTGATCCAGCTCTTTGCTTAGGGCCTGGGAAAGCAGTGGAGGAGGGCCCAAGCCTCTGGGACCTGGAACCCACGAGGAAAGAGGCTCTAGGCTCTGAGCTTCAGATCAGCTCAGCTTTGGCCATTGTGGTCATTTGGGGAGTGAACCACTGTATAGAAGCCTTCTCCTTTCTCCCTCTCTCTGTAAATATGCCTTTCAAATCAAAATAAATAAATCTTTCTTTACAAAATCGCTGATCCTACAACAGATTATTTTTGTCCAACAATCAATTACATAGAACAATCATAAAAACCAAATATAACAAGAACAAATGAAAAACGATGTTCAACTTCTGCAGGTAAACTCAGAAGCCAAAATATTCGTCATATATTCATATATATGTTTACAAACTGTAAAAACCTATGTTTTAAGTACTGCAAAGCTACAGAGATGAATATGATAAGGAGAGATAGATGAAGATGAATGCCGAAAAAGCACTTAGGGGCAGAAAACAATTTTAGAAAACCAAAATTTCCAAAGTAGTAATACGCTAATTTAATGAAAGAGCTTTTATTGACACCTCACCTATTTAGATACTGCAGTTTGGTACTGGTGGTAGTGGCAGTAGGAAGATGGAGGTGGGGGCAGGGTTAAGGAGCTGGATGCCAGGAAAGCATTGCCAAAGGCCCAGGAGGGTAGGAGGCAGTGCTCCCGGCGCAGCAGAGTGGAAAGCTAGAGGCCACACAGCACAAGCGTCACAGGCAAACTTGGTCAGTGCAACTTTTTTGAGAGAGCATGAGACTTCAACACTGCTTTAATGCATGCAGTACCACTTCCATCAGTCTGATTTGAAAGAATGGCTAACTGACAAGGAATGGGTATAGGGATCCTCTCAGAACTACGGTCACGTACATACTACAGACACCAGCATCCACAGCCATCATCCTTATAACCAACGCTGCCACCAAGTCAAAGGCATGTCAAGAATGCATGCATGCACCCTAAGAACCAGGAGGCTTTCTGTGGGCCTGGAATGAACTGCCCAAAGCACAAAAGCTCTAAATGCTGTGAGAATCAAAGCTTAAGTGATCCACACATACCTAGATTTACTTAATTTTATAGCGAATATTTATTTCTTGGAATTATTATAGAACATGGTGCTTATTCAAATAACAAGGTTACTTGATAGTAGGAGAATTGGTAGAAAACAGTCAGAAGTAATGTAGAGTTCAGCAAAAATCAATGAAAGTAAAAACAGGAAACAGAAAAGTCAGGCAACACAAAACCTGTTCTCAGGAGAACTCGTCTTGCAGAGAGAAGACTATGCCACATGACAGTGCACAGTGCTACTATGTCACATGACAGTGCCCAGTGCTACTATGTCACATGACAGTGCACAGTGCTACTATGTCACATGACAGTGCACAGAACTACTATGTCACATGACAGTGCGCAGAGCTACTATGTCACATGACAGTGCACAGTGCTACTATGTCACATGACAGTGCACAGTGCTACTATGTCACATGACAGTGCACAGAGCTACTCAGCTCTTCCAATTTTTTGAACTCCATTAAAACTTTTTAAAAAGATTTATTTATTGCTATTGGAAAGTCAGATTTACAGAGAATAAGAGAGAGACCACATTTTCTGGAAACGCCCATATGGGGAGCTAGGCAAGGACTTCAGGCACTAGGCTACTGTGCCAAGATATAAACCTCCTTTAAAAGCAGCTACAAAATATTTCACAGAATGAATGAAGAGATTAAATGATATGACAATGATCTGTTAGAAACAGATAGTTCTAACTAAGAAGGCTGAGACCAACTGTTAAATAACAGAAAATCTTACATACGTTAACGACCCTGGGGAGGTGGATTACAGCAAAGCAAACCTCATAAATGTCATTAAGACATTTTTCTGTGGCAACATTAGAGCTCAGAGAGAAAAACATTAATGGCCCTCTTGATAACTTTCCTGTGACGGTGACACGACGAAAACAACACAACAAATGATTTATTGCACATATACCTTCTTGCAAATTTTCTCAAAGTTGATATCATCACCAAGAGCAGATCTAGTTACTGTATCAGGTTTCAACTCCTGCAACACAAAGTAGTATTAGTTAGAAATCTGATTTTACACTGTCACTACATTCTTTCCTATGGTGTGTTCAAAGAACTCTTGATATATTACATAAAATCTTCACTTTTGGAACAGTAACTCCTGCCAGTGTAAGAAATTATCACGCTACTAAAAAGCCAGAGTAAAGGGCTGGAAGGATGGCTCAATCGGCTAATGTGCTGCCTGTAAGCACTAGCCTCCCATAGGGGCGCTGGCTGGGGGGTCCAGTCGAGACTGCTCCTTTCCCATCCAGCTCCCTGCTTGTGGCCCATAGCCTTGGGACCCTGCACCCATGTGGGAGACCAGCAAGAAGTTCATCTGTGGCTGTTATGGGGAGTGAACCAGCAGACTGAAGCCGTTTCTGTTTCGCTGTAAATCTTTCTAATAAAGGAATAACTCTTAAAAGCCACAGTAAATTGAGTTAAAGAAATGATCTTGATAAGCAACTATACAGCAAGGACCTCAATACAAGCCACGGTAAAACCCAAGGATTTTTATACCCAGACAAGCTGTTCCTCAAACACAAAATCTACACAAATCAGTTTTTGCAATTCCAGCTGTTCAGGGAACAGTGTACACATGTGTTTCTCCAGAGGAAACTTCTAACAGAAAACTTTAAACCAGCAGCAGCAGATACCTTTTGGTAAAGGTCTGATACTGAGTTTGTATTTGTAGAGCAAGCATTGGGATAAACATGGGAGTATATACAGAAGAAAGAGCAGTTAATAAACTTTGTTTTTAATAAACAGAAAGTAGCGTAAGATCAGTGAGTATCGTCTATGTTTAAGTAAACAGGCAGTAGTTACATGATGCCATTTAAAATGGAGAGAACAGAAAATAAAAGATTACAAAAGAAAATGGAAAAGTACTTGCAAGGCCACTATAATGGCTATAAATACAACTGTAACCATGGAACGCAAACACAGACCTTTGCTAAACACCGAAAGATTTTTTTTTTTAAAAAACACAAAGGCACTTGAAATAGAAAAACACAGTAAATACAAGATTGACTCCTCTGTAGCTTTAATATAACTAAGAGCAAACATCAAGGATATAACAATGCCAATTACTTTGCCTGTTAGAATAAAACTTTTGCAAATTAGAAAACAAAATAAAACCTAAGTTTATAATGCCATAACATTACTTTTTCACCCCAAATTTATTTTTTACTCGAATGTCAGAATTACTAAGAGAGAGGGAATGACAAGAAGAGAGATAAAGAGAAACACCTTTCATCTGCTGGTTTATTCCCCCAAAGAGCTGAAAGCACAAGAGCTGGTAGGGTCCAAAGCTGGGAGCCAACAGCTTCTTTCGGGTCACCCACATGAGTACAGGTCCCAAGGACATCTCCCGCAGGTCCCAGGCTAGAAGCAGGGTCCTGCTTCGGATCTGGAGCATCTGGGACACGAACCATTGACCATACAGCACGCCAGCACCAAAGGCAGAGGATCAGCATCTATGCTGTTCTACAACATTACCCTCACATGGTGATTCTAAAATGCTAGAATAGACGGATTGCAAAGATTCTTGGTAAGTAGAAACAACTAAAAAGCAGACAATGAAATTATGTATCACACAAAGAATTCAGGCAAAAATATTTAGCATGATAAAGACAGGAAGACAATGTATTAAATGAAAAATTATATAACTATATAAAGGAGAAACCATAGGAAAGACTGAGAAAAATAAAAAGACACTTCAGAAAGTTCAAAATATTAAAAAATAATTGAGAGGGTCAGGCATTGTGGCATAGGAAGCTGCCACCCGGGACACTGGTATCCCATCCACAGGAAACAGTACTATCAAAAAGCCACATTCCCACATTTACTGCAGCATTATTTGACTAAAACTGAGGTACCCAAGGATAGATGAAAGGATAAAAAGAAATTGGTACATAAACACAACGGAGTATTATTCAGCCCTACAAAAAGAACAAAATCCTGGGGTGGCCCCTGTGATATAGCCGGTTAAGTTACCACGTGGAAACACCCAAACCGTTGATCAGTTTGCCTCTAATGTACACTGTGCAATCAAGTGGGAGAGCTGCACCGAGTTTGGGCATTTGAGGTGTAAATCAGCAAGATGGGACGTATCTTTCCCCCCGAATCAGCCTTTCAAATAAAATAAGCAAAAAATGTAACCCAAAATATATTAGATATTCTGAGTCACAAAGTAGGTAAATCTAGGGTGCAGAGCGTTTTAGCAGGAACTTCCCAAGCAGGCTCTGTAGCTGACGGACAGGCTAAGCCAGCTTGCAAGGCAGGTATATACCTGAGACACTTCACAGATGCTGACACCGAGCAGTGTCAACAGTTAGCCCAACACTCATCATCTCATGAGAAAATAGACATACACAGGTGTACACACTTAGGGGATACAGAAGAATGCCAGTGTATGTGAACCATGTGTAGTGACCAAATCAGGTTACATGAAACATCTGTGTAGACACTGAGCATATTCAGGACCTTGAAACTCTTCTAATGATGAAACACATGCTTTGTTGCTGTGGATGACGGTTACCACACCAAGGTATAAAATGCTGGAGCAAATTCCTAGCAACAGTATTTTGGTACTAGGAATTTACTGACAATTCTTCTCTACTTCTATTCTGCAATATCAGCTTTTTTTTTTTTTAAAGATTTATTTATTTTTATTGCAAAGTCAGATACACAAAGAGGAGGAGAGACAGAGAGCAAGCTCTTCCATCCAATGACTCACTCCTCAAGCAGCAGCAACGGCTGGAGATGAGTCTATCAGAAGCCAGGAGCCAGGAGCCTCTTCCAGGTCTCCCACAAGGGTGTAGGGTCCCAAGGCTTTGGGCCATCCTTGACTGCTTTCCCAGGCCACAAGCAGGGAGCTGGATGGGAAGTGGAGCTGCTGGGATTAGAACTGGCACCCATATGGGATCCCGGCACGTTCAAGGCAAGGACCCTAGCTGCTAGACCACTGCGCTGTGCCCTATATCATCAACTGTAAGCTCTTATGAGAATGTATTGTACTTGTCTTTCTGTGCATAGCTTATTTTACTTAACATACTGCTTCCAGCTCCACACTTGTTGTGGCAAGTGACAGCTTTAAAAAAAAAAAAAAGGTTTGTTCACTTACTTGAAAGACAGAGTGACTGAAAGACATCCACCTTTAAGTCACTGGTTCACTCTCCAAATGCCTCAACTAGCCAGTGTTAAGCCCTGATATGGCAATGTTGCTGTCCCAAGAGGCAGCTTAACTTGCTGTAACTATACTTGTTCCAGGACTTCATCGATTCTTTATGACTGAGTAACATCTCATTGTGTTTATACACATGGCAGCTGGTGGGTAAAGCTGGGGGCAGAGTGGGAAGAGGGGTGAAAAAGAGGAAAAAGGAATTTCCATACATTGCTTACTCCCCCAATGACCTTAATAGCTGGGGCTGGGCCAGGCCACAGCCAGCAGCCAGGAATTCCACCTGGCTCTACCCTGTAGATATCAGGGTAGAACTTCATTTGCTCTCTCCTGAGTGTGATAGCAAGAAGTTAGCCTGGAAGTGGAGGAGGAAGGACTTTATCCCAGGCACCCCAAAACAGGATGCAGGAGTCCCAAGTGGTAGTTTCATATCCTGATCTTAATAGCTGTTTCAAAATTCAGATCCTTAAACATAAAATGAAACATGAGCGGACAGCAAATATGCAATGAGAAACTTCATTAACAACCCTGCTAGCTTTATTTTGTTATGAGTAAACCAATGGCACTTGCTACAGGTTCTATAAAAACCCATTTACCCGATACGCTGATTTATATTTGAGCCATGTGACTAACAGTATTCTAAGTGTAGGGCACTGGGCCTTATGCAGAAAGTAACAAAAACTTGGGGAAGTGTGGCAAGTATCACGCTGATACTCTGCTTGTAAGCATTTGTCCCAAATAGGTGCCTTTTCATGTCCCAGATGCTCCACTTCCAGTCTAGCTCTCTGCTTTGGGCCTGGGAAAGCAGTGGTGGATGGCCTAAGGCCGAGGGTGCCTTGACCCTCATGGGAGGTGAGGGAGAAGCTCCTGGCTCCCAACTTCAGATCAGCGCAGCTCTGGCTGTTGCACTCACTTAGGGGAGGCAATCACCAGATGAAAACCTCTCCTCTGCCTATCCTCGCTGTAAAAATCTGCCTTTCGAATACAAATAAGTATTTAAAAAAACTGACACAGTAACACAAAGGCTAGTGAAAATAACCAAGTTTTGTGTGAAGAGAGATGAAGCAAGGGGTATAATTTGTTTGGTGCAGTTCATAATGGTTGGAGTAATCAGATGATTTCCAAATTACCGGGGAAGCATTTTCACAATGCTCAAAACCTCCCACTCGTAAGATAAATCCCCCAGGTGTGACTTCATGTGTATGTATTCCCCGCATTGTGTATAACAAAACTGCTGGTTAAAACTATGGCATTGTTTCTCTCTGGTTTTACAAGAAAAGTTTGAGGTGGTGGTAAATGCTGCCTTGTTATCAAAACCAACTAGCAGAACAGAACCTCGCAGATACACAGGGGCCTTGGAGGGGTGTGGCGTTGGAGAAGCAGCGGGGACAGCCGTGGGGATGGCAGCTGGGGTGCCCAGCATCACAAGGCATCAGCTGATGGACGCTCAGACCCCCTGGGGAATGACCCCGACCTGGAGAGCAGCAAGCAGCCAGCCAATGTGGTTTTTGAGCAGAAGAGATATAATAAACCAAAGTCAGTTTACTACTAGAATATTTTACTGGTGCCAGGTTTTTGCTGGCAGCCAGATAAAGAATTACTGAATGTCTACAAATAGTACTGTCTCACTTTAGTTCCAAGTTGAGTTTCATGTCAAAAGTTGAATCTTCCTATGCTAGAAACATGAATGCATTTGTAATTGTATTTTCACTGATTTATGAAAATAATCACTCTTTAAGCAAAAACTAAAGAAATGCCTGAATAATTCAACAGTCCAGGAATTTTCATGCACTTAAAAATGGGCATTAAACATAAAC